TCTTTGTTTCCAACTTTCTCATTCCAGTCACCAGTAATTCTCAATGCATCTTGATTGCATGTTTGATCAATTTCAGACTGCAGAAGTTGGTAAAAATCTTCAGTTTCCTCATCTTTGGCCTTAGTGGTTGGTGCATAAATTTGAAAATAGTCATATTAACTGGTCTTCCTTGTAGGTGTATGGATGCTATCCTATCACTGACAGCGTTATACTTCAGGATAGATCTTGAAATGTTCTTTTTGACAATGAATGCAACACCACTCCTCATCTATTCTTCATTCCCAGCGTGGTAGACCATATGATTGTCCGACTCAAAAAGGCCAATACCAGTCCACCTCAGCTCACTAATGCCTAGGATATTGATGTTTATGCATTCCATTTCATTCTTGATGATTTCCAATTTTTCTAGAGTCATACTTTGTACATTCCACATTCCTATTATTAATGGATGTTTGCAGCTGTTTCTTCTCATTTTGAGTCATGCCACATCAGCAAATGAAGGTCCCAAAAGCTGGACTCCACCCATGTCATTAAGGTCAACTCTACTTTGAGAAGGCAGCTCTTCCCCAGTCATATTTTGAGTGCCTTCCAACCTGAGGGGTTCGTCTTCCAGTACTATATCAGACAGTGTTCCGCTATTTATAAGGTTTTCACTGGCCAATTTTTCAAAAGCAGATCACCAGGTGCTTCTTCCTAGTCTGTCTTAATCTGGGAAGCTCAGCTGAAACCTGTCCACCATGGGCGACCCTGCTGGTATTTGAAATACCAGTGACATAGCTTCCAGCATCACAGCAACACATAAGCCCCCACACTATGACAAACTGACAGACACGTAGGGAGTATGAGATACGTACTGTTTTTATTCTCATTTTATAGATAAAGAAACTGAAGATGAAAAATATTAGTTAACTTGCTCAAGTAACTGGGAACCTCCAAAGCAAGTTTTAACAGGAACAAACCTGGTTTATTTGGAAGCAGAAACCTTCTAGAACTCTTAATTAGATTTTAAACTTATTGCATTTTTATTTCATATGTATGTGGGTTTAGTTTTTCATTTTTGTTTTTTCCTACAATGTTAAACTTTTCAGGTTGTCTAAGAATTTCAGCATAGGTCTCAAAAGCTGAGAACAATAAAATAGGTGCCAAAGCTTCTCACATCTTGAATAAAGATGCTAATCTTCCTATGCAGGAAATGCTAAGAGACTGTTAAAGGACAACTTCCAGGATGAGCTCCTGGCAGTTACACAAGAGACGGCAAAGAATTAAATGGGAGATTGAACAGGCTGACAGTGAGGATATCTTTATGAGAGCTGTGAAGGTGGGGTGTCATTTCCCCTACCCATGAGGAAGGAGGGTGTATTGGTTATCTATCGCTACACAACCAATTATCCCACAACTTAGCCACTTAAAACAACAATAAATGTTTATCACGTCACACAGTTTGTGCAGACGAGGAATTTAGACAGCAGTTTGGCTGGACGGTCTGGCTCAGAATCTCCATGAGCTTGTAGTCAAGATGTCATTGGATTGATCAAGTGGAGGTCACATGCACACATGATAGCTGCAAGAAGGCTAGAAAAAGTGTGTAAGAACTCACTTTCTGTAGTGGAAGCAGTGCTCACTCACCACCAAGACACCTACAGCAGGGAACTCTCCAAACTAGGACTCAGGTGATGGACAGCAGAAAATAAAACCACAAAAACGTCCAGCAAAATCATCCCTTTGGCTGCCCGACAACCACGCGACCGCTGCATCCAATACTCACGCTTCCAAAACGAACTGCCACTTAAAATATGGCAACTACCCTTCCTATTATAAAAGGTATACTCACTCTGTCACCCTCCAAGGAAGCTAACCCAATGTTCATCGGCTACCACATCCATCTCCAGGTCTAGGAATCATAGCTGATGCCCATTCTTCCTCTGGTTCTGTCCCAATCTTGTATTCATCTTCTCCAACTTAGGGGCTAAATAATGAAGTGTACCAACAACACATCCTAGGTACAACAGTGAAGTAAAGGGTAAAGAAGGAAACTAGAAGTTGGTTAAAACACATAAAAGTATACATGACACAACAAGAAAAGAAATGCAACGTGGCAGTTTTTGTTTCTGCCTCTGATCATGAGGCCTTCACCACTGTTTATGGTGTTCTTCCTCTACCAGCCATTCCATGTTCCCTTTGCCTTCAACCAGGACTTTCATTTCTAAGGGATCTGAGTGTCTGGTGGATCTGTATGTTACAGGCATACCAGCAAGCCTGTTTCTGCTGGATGACGAGGGTCAACCACTCTAGCCAACACTATCACCTTCCTTTTGTTGTTTTTTATCCATTGGCACAAGACATGCAAAACGGTCAGTTGGCAGTTTTAGCTTCCAAATCAAAGGATTTTTCTTTTTGGTAGCAAACCTCTGAACCGGCAAAACTCAGAGTCCCAGGGAATGGAAGTCAAAATTTGAATTGAGTATAATATCCCTTTATTCCTAAATCCATTAATTTTGCTTATGGAAGTGTGTTGGTTTTAAAGTATATCCAGACATCCTTTGACACATTTCCCATAGAAAAAGAGGAGTCTAACAGTGCCCTCCCCCACCCCCCACCGCCCCTACCCTGGATATAGCCAGCCTGGGTGATTAAGCTCTAAACAACTGGATGTGGTTTGAAGTGACATTACATGACTTCCATGGTTCATTTAGAAAAGGCATTACAGCTCCCATCTGGCTTTCTCTTTCTTGGGATGCCCACCGTTAGTAGTCAGCTACCATGCTGTGAGGATCCAAGCAGCCTTGCGAAAGGTCATGAGTAGGTGTTCTGGCCACAGCTCTGGCTGAGAACCCAGCCAACACCAGCATCAGTCACCAGACATGTGAGGGAAGGGGCCTTCAGATGATTCCAGCCTCCAACTTCTGAGCTGCCCCAGCTGATGTCAAGTAGAGTGGAACAAATACAAGCTGTCCCTGCCAAGCCCTGCAAAAATTACAGATTGGTAAGCAAAGTAAATCTTGTAGTTGTTTTAAATCACTATGTTTTTGGGGTGGCGATACAGCAATAGATAACGGGAACAGGAAGAAAGAGTGCCAAATATTGGACTCTAACTCACAGCATATACTGCATCCTATAGGATTGCATCACAAAGGATTGTCTCCCAGAAGGCACCATAACTAAGTCTTCAGTATAGCCTTGATAAGATCAGGTGCTTGTTGGTGATAGAGTACAAAATTAGCCCAATGAATCCCACCAGCAAGACACCACTGCATTACTTCTTTCATTGTACAGTGAATTTCTTGGTCAGAAGTAATAACACGTCAGACACTATGACAGTGTAAAAATCATTTAGAAAGCACTCAGATGGTGATATAGACCCCAATAAATACAAAATATTGTCATTTTAACATGTGATCAATATAAAAATTATTCAGATATTTTATATTCTTATTTTTGTACTAAGTCTTTAAGATTCAGGAGTATTTTACAATTACAGCACATCTCAATTTTAACTAGCCATATTTCAAGTGCTGGAAAAAGCACAGCGAGCAGGTAAAGCAAATCAAAATCTAGAGTAAGTGTAATTGAGAGAGGACAGATAGCTTCTTCCTCAGTGATGAGGAAGGGCCAATGGAATCAACTTGTCCCCAAGTGCCTGGCTCATCCTTCTACAGTATGCAGTATACCAGCAACTCAGGATTGGTCAAGGCTGTTGGCAACTTGAACACTCAGCAATGGATTCGTCATCTCATGCATAGCTTTCAATCCTGATACCATCGCCATTTTGTTTATGATTCCACTGCGTAAGCACTGAGCCTGGAGAAGGAAGCCGAGTTTCATCCACAGATCAGTTACAACTGGCCGAACAATTTAGCCTCTGTCCATGAATTGATTGTGAATTATTACCCAATGCCATCTCTCCTTCCAGGCAAAGTGAACATCAAGACACAGTGCTTGACGGGGTCACTGTGAGTGGAATATTACAGCCTTGGAAACTCCATGGGGCAGTTCTGCACTGTCCTATGGGGTCACTATGAGTTAGAATCGATTCAACAGCAACGGGTTATGCAATAGAAATATAACATATGCCACGTGTCACTTTAAATATTCTAGTAGAATAAAAAACACTATCGTCGAGGAGATTCCGACCCATAGCGACCCTATAGTCGCATTTAAAAACGTAAAAAATTGATTTTAATAATATATGCTATTTACCCCAATGTATAGAAAATATTATTTCAACATGTGATCAATATAAGAAATTACTAAAGAGGTATTTTACATTCTTCTTTTATATTGTCTTCAAAATTCACTGGGTATTTTAGTTACAGCACATCTCAATTCAAACTAGCCACATTTCAAGCGCTCAGTAGCCACTTGTGGCCAGTGGATACGGCATGGAACTTCGTGGAAGGTGCAGTTCTACAGGATCCACTTTTACAAGAAAGAATTTGACCATCCTCAGCACCTGTAATTAGTGTCAGACCTCCTCAAGCTAAACTTTTGTCCAGAAGAGATGATTTAAATTAGATTCCAGAGTAAGCCCCAACTCCTTCAGCCTTTGCAACTGAGAAAGATGTCCCTGGAAACACGACTGGGGTGTCCTTTGGCGTTCCTGTAACATCTTTTCATCTCCTTTATTAAAAAGGACTCTTCGTTCTTCCTGAAGATGGGGACTCCCTCCTTCGAGGCCAGTTTATTATTCTTCGAATTTTTTGGTACATTCTCCATAGAAAACCAGTTGGCTCCCTTGGCTGCCGGGAAAGTTTGGGGGTTCGTTCTGCCGCCCACGTCTACCCTCTTAATTCACCTCAGGCTCTCCCTGAGGAGCCAGCCCCAGGGACCGCGCAAGCCAGGGTGTAGGGCCACAGAGCTCCCTTCGACTTGCTCCCTTGGGTCAGAGAAGCGACTGTTCCCTCCGCCAGCGTTACGCCCCCACAACGCTCTGCTTTTAAAGGAGTCTTCCCCACTACAGGGCCCCCGCCCACAAGCAGCAGCATTAGCCGCCGAGCACACACCCCACCGTCCGGCCTCGGCTAAACCGGAAGGGGCAGGACATCCGCTCAGCCCGCGACACTACCGGAAGTGACGTAGGAGTGTCAACATGCAAGATGGCGGCCCATCACCGACAGAACACGGCAGGGCGGCGGAAAGTGCAGGTATGGGAGCCCGGCTTCTTGGCCTCCCGGATGCGACTGCCCGCCCCGGGGCCGCCTCCCGCCAGCAGATGCCTCAGGCCGCGGCCGGCTGGGGAGCGAGGCGGGGCGAGCGGGAAGGGGAGCAGCGGCGGCGAGAGGTGGGGCCGCGGCGCTAACGGCTTGAGGAAGGGGCGGGGGGTGGTGGCCTTGGCCCGCCCCGCCCGGGCGCTGACTCGGGACCCCTGGGCGCGCGCCCTGGAACCCGGGGCGGCCGGTCGCCGGTTCTCCCGTAGGATCGGGCTTGCGAGGCTGGGTTGGGCGCGTTCCCTGCCCACATGCCTCTAGCTACCCTGCCTTCCCCGAAGCGCTCTGTCCCAGCCGCGTCGGAGCCGAGGCCTTCAGGCGCTTCCCGGTGGGCGGGCGGCGAGCAGAGAGGGCCGGGGCGGGGGCGTGGCGGCCGGCGGAGCGCAGACGACCCTGCGGGGCTTCTGCGGAGGATTCCGCACGTGAGAGCTCGTGTCTCCTTTTCTGCGGGAGTTTTTTTCCCAGGGGGGAGGAGACGACGTGGGAGTGTGTTGGTGTTCGTGGGGAAATTACAGTTTTAATTGTTCTGAATTTAATTTTGTCTTCAGCATTTCTTCATCTTCGGTGTGCATCCCTGAATCTATCTTTTCTCTTTCTATAATTTATTATCCAAGGGTAAAGAGTTATCTTTTGCGTATGCTTTATGTCTTCATGAATGCACTTTTATTTTAGATACGCTTAAGAGTTCTTGCTATCTATTTTTTTTCAGCGGTGCAGGAAATAATAAAAGCCCTATTTCAGGGGTTTGCCTGCAGGTATATTGAATGTAGTAGTAGCGACGTGGTACGTTACGTCATTAACCTTTTATTGAGCCCTTAATTTGGACCCAAAAGTATGCAAAGGTTTGAGAGAACGTGGGAATAAGTAAGACCCAGGCTTTTCTTGACAAAATGCACCATTACATGTAGTTCTACAGGTTGAAATCGCTGAGTGTTTAATAGCTCAGAACAAAAGGTGCCTTCAGTAGGGTAACCCCAGGAAAAGGGTGTAAGCCATAAAGTTTTCTGGGGCAGTTCACCTCTTTGTTTTATTGATCTAATTGATCAGTTTAGTGTCTAGAGTACTCATTGGACGTTTGTTGAATTGAGTGAAATGAGTAAGCATCTAAATCACCTAAAATCACTCTGTTAGGTGACTTTTTTAAAGTGTGTCAGGATAGGATTTGAGTATCAGAATCCTAGGTGGTGACATTGTCTCCTCCCAACTAAAATGTAACCCAAAATTGTAACTTAATTGCATTGTAACTGGACTGCCTGAAATAATAGGTAATTGGCTAGATAATTTTTCCCAGGGGATCACAATAATTAAGTATGTAGGCAACACTGAGGAAGAGAAAGCCTTGACGACCTGAGGAGCTGATAGCCGGTGTTGTTCTAGATGCTAGAATAGTATACTCCACAGGGGAGTAAGGGTAGTTAACCAGGCCTCTTGGTGTCCTGCATTTAGAAGTGGAAGGCAGCTATAAAAGGATGTGAAGGGCGTAAATTAACTGCAGCATGGGTGGAAAACTTGTAATCCAAATGTGAGCCAGCACGGGTGGAATGAGGGAGGTGAGAGTTCCAGACTTTGCTGGTCAGAGCACAGAACTAGAGTTTGAGCTTGAGAATTTAGTGCCTTGTTCTGAATAAGCATAGCAACCAGATTGGTGAAGTGACTTGAAACTGTCAAAGATTCGGCTGCAGAAGAGAAGATTCGGGGGCCTTGTCAGCTCTTTTCAGAGCTTGTCCACAATGTGTAAGACCAATGTGAGAAGCCGCAGAGATTGATACTTCCTCTCTACCTGAGACAGCATTTTTGTTTGTTTATAGAATCATTTCTAAAACTAGCACATGTGCATTGCAAGAAACCCACAAACAATAAAAAAGTGTAAACGATAGCTGTCCTCCACTTTACAAAGAAATCTGCTGTGAATAATGTGATATATAATGCTAAACTAGGGTTTCTCAACCTGAATATTATTGACATCTTGGGCGGGAGAATTTTTTGTTGTGGGAGACAGTACATTGTAGGATATTTACCATCATCTCTGGCCTCTGCTCACTAGGTGCTAGTAGCACCTCCCCACTTGGGACAACCAAAAATGTCTCCAGACATTTTCAGATGTCCCCTGGCAGTCCCAATCGCCTCTGATTGACAGTCACTGTTCTTCACCCCTTCGTGTATTTGTAGCTGACATACATGCTTTTCACTGTAAATGGATCCATGGTACACACTATTCTGTGGCTTGCTGTTTGTCAAAATTATAAATGTACATTCCCATTGCCCAGTAATTCCTCTTCTAAAAGTCTGTTCTGCAGAGATACATATGCATATATCTTTCTCTACTTGTGCAGAGATGTTTATTGTAGGAATCTTGTCATTGTGAAAAACGGAAAAAAGCCTAAATGTTCATCAGTAGGGAATTGGCAGATAAATTATGGTAGTGGATTAAGATACAGCTGTTGAAAAGATAAGCTAAGTACGTATGTATTAAGAAGGAAGGTGCCCAGAAGTCCAAAAAGTAAGTTGATATAGTATGAATCCACTTCCACAAAGGAAATGCTGCATTTTAAAAGCCTGGAATGATACTGTCGATTACCTCTGGGAGATTGGATTGTGTGATTATGGATAGGACAGGATATGGAGTCCCTGTGTGGCGCAAAAGGTTTAGCACTCAGCTACTAACTGAAAGATTGGCAATTAGAACTCAGGTGCCTTGGAAGAAAGGCCTGGCAGTCTACTTCGGAAAGGTTACAGCCATTGAAAACCCTATAGAACACAATTCTACTCTGAAATACATGGGGTCACCATGAGTTGGAGTCAACTCCGTGGCAACTGATTTGGTTGTGTGTGGTTTTTTTTGGTTTAAGATATGGTATATCTTAACTTTCAAATATGTGCACCTTTGTATTTTTAAACATTTTGCAACATATTTGCTGTTATAAATTTTAAAAATTTCCATTTTGAAAAAAATGTATATGGGTACTTCAAAAAAAAAAAAACCCATTGCCACTGAGTTGATTCTGACTCATAGCGACCCTACAGGACAGAGTAGAACTGCCCCCTAAGGTTTTCCAGGGATGCAGTCTTTACGGAAGCAGACTGCCACATGTTTCTCCTGCAGAGCGGCTCAACCACAGACCTTTCAGTTAGCAGCTGAGTGCTTAACCACTGTGCCACCTGTAAGGTTACAGATCTTAAATAGGGGGATATCCTGGATTATTATGGTGGGGACAGTCTAATCATGTGACCCTTCAAAGCAGAGAAACTTTTCAAGCTGGAGCCTGGCTGGGAACTGTCAGATGCAGCAGAAGTGGGAGTGGCATGACCCTTGACCCCGAGTTGCAGAAGAGGGCAATGGCTTGGCCTCTGGGAACAGAGATGGGTCCTGGCTGACAGCCAGCAAGGGAACAGGGACCTCAGGCCCTGCGACCGAAGGGAACTGAATTTGGCCAACAACCTGAATGAGCTTGGAAGCAGGTTCTTTCCCTGAGCCTCCAGTAAGGAAAGACGCCTTGGTTTGCACCTTGTGAGACCCTAAGCGAAGGGCCTACCAAGCCTGGACTTGTGACCGTCAGAACTGTGAGATAATAAACAGGTGTTGTCTTATGCGGCTAATACAGTTACCTTCAAACAAAATGATCATCTCAGAAATATGTTTTTCTCATGATTTTTTTTTACCCTCTGGCACACTGCCAGTAACTCGAGGGATATTCAGGTTTGAAATTCAGAGACAGATCGTGTGAAGTTCAGTGGATCGGCCCTACAGTCTGATTCCTTTGTTTTGGGTCCCAGATCATTGCAGGAGAAGTTAATGAAACAGTGCTTACTGGGCCAGCTACAAATTCTTGCAGTGTCACTTAACTGGATACTTGCTGCTGGGTGGACTACCGCATTATTTTTCTGTCAGAATCCCTTTCACTGGCTCTTCCAAAACATACACCTCCTACTGCAGGCCTGGCTTCCCACCCCACTGCAGAGCTCATGTAGTCTCCCCCGCCTTTTTAAGGCACATTAAGGCAGTCTGATAGGAGAGTCCTCATCCTCTCTGCCTTTGCTTGTACTCTTGGCTCTGAATGAAGTTTTTCTGGGACCTTGTTCCCTCAATTATTGCCTCTGTCTCTATCTTCTACTTTTCTCTTTCCTTTAATTCCACCTCTTCCGCCTGCAAAGGCTTACCTATGTCTGGGGAAAACTTCACTTGACTTGCTGTCACTTTTAGTTATGCCCTTTCACCCTTTAGAATATAAGCTCCAAAAGGGCAAGGACTTTTGTGCTTACTACTGTATCCTTAACGCTTAGAATAAACTGTGCCTGGTAACCGGTAGGTAGATGTTCAGTCAGTGTTTGGTGAAAGAACTGAATCTTGTTTTCCCTCTATCTCTACATAGCTAGATTTTTGTTTTCTTTAAAAAGTTTTTTATATAATATGTGTTGGAACATATCAGTGTATGTAGTTTGTGTTCATTCTTTAATAACCATATAGAATGGATGTACCAAGATATTTAATCATTCCCTTATTGAAGATAATTGTTTCTATTTTTTCCATCCTGTTAAAATTTACTCCCAAAAAGTTAACAGCAGAGTTATAAAATAGTGGTCTTTACCACCATGACCAGTGACCTTTGAGTTAATTTCAACTCATAGTGAGCCCGTATTTTCCGAGTAGAACTGCACTGTATGGAGTTTTCAGTGACTGTGACCTTTTGCAAGTAGATCGATCACTAGGCCTTCCTTGCGAGGCGCCTCTGGGTGGATTTGAACCATCAGCTAAGCACCTAACCTTTTGAGCCACCCAGGGAACAAAAAGGAAGTCTTATAAAAGTAAATAAAAGAACAAAGATAAATAATATAGAATGCATTAATGGTGAAAATCAGCTTGAAAAGTCCAATATCGGACTAATAGGAGTTCAAAATGGAGCAAAGAAAAAGGGAGATCATTATTAATGGATTAATAC